CTCAGCCTTCCGAGTAGCCAGAATTACAGGCGCGCGCTACCACGCTCGGCTAATTTTTTGATTTATTGTAGAGATGAGGTCTCGCCTGCCCAGGCGGGTCTCGAACCCGCGGGCTCAGGCAATCCACTCACCTCAGCCTCCCAAAGGTGCGGGATTACAGGCTGAGCCACCGAGCCCGAATCAAAAATATTTTTCACTATAGTTGATCACAGCCTCTCACAACAAGGCTAGCTGGTACATGGATGCCAATGGGTTCCTAGAACACTTACTTAGAGGGGAAGACTGTACTACTAGGAATCTGCCCTCCAACAAGTAATTCCAGGTTTGGGGTTTTTTTTGGTCCCCTCCTAGAATGTTCTGTTAAACTACACCAAGTGCTTAGCATGAAATGAGTATGGGTAACTGTCAAAACTTGACAACTGAAGAGATGAAGTCTCAGGTTCAAGCGTAGGGACAAGAAGCTGAAATCAAGGCAGTATCACAGAACCAGAATTGTGAAGCCAGAAGCAGCAGGTCAGATGAAGGAGAGTGGTTCATATTGGATAGAGTTGGTTTTTTTTATGGACCTGTGTGTGTGTGCGTGTATGAATGTTTGAGTGTGTGTGAGTGTGTGTGTGTGTGTGTGTGTGTGTGTGTGTGTGTGTGTGTATGCATGTATATTGCATGATTTGGTTGAATGATGGTAAGTTTCAGAGGTACAGCAAGAAATAATCTCAACTTTCAGGTGAAATGTTGATGTCCACCCACTTTTTTCTCATTTCACATTATTATTATTATTATTATTTTCTTGAGTTGGAGTCTCGCTCAGTCACCCAGACTGGAGTGCAATGGCCGGGAGCGGTTGACCTGCTGGGCTCCGGCGATCCTTCAGCCTCAGCCTTCCAAGTAGCTGGACCTACAGGCGCGCACTACCACGCCTGGCTAATTTTTTGATTTATTGTAGAGATGAGGTCTTGCCAAGTTGCCCAGACAGGTCTCAAACCTGCGGGATCAGGCAATCCACTCACCTCAGCCTCCCAAGGCGCGGGATTACAGGCTGAGCCACCGAACCCGGCTATTTCATGTTATTAATGATATTAATATAACAGAGGCATATTCACACTTACAGATAATGTAGATTATAATAGCATTTCTGAAATAGCACTTGATAAATGGTTGTCTTTCACCTGCTGCCCCACTATCCTTTTTGCCGGTAGATAGCAACTGGCTAATATTACCATTACTAACTATATCTAACTATATTATGGCTTGGTAACTTGACATTCTTTCTAGCGATTTATTTTATTATGGAGAACGTTGAGGTTTTTATTTTCTCAGAGAATGATGTAAGAATACTAATATCCTCAGAAGAAAGAAAGAAAAGTCTGGATCTCAAAAGACTTTAGGGATAGTAATGTAGGCAGTGGACTTCTAGACAGCTATCTCAACAGTTTGGGTGTTACATCATTTGTGAACTGACATAGTTCAGAGGAAGGAGTAGTGTTGTCTAGTAGGAACAATCAGTAGTTTTTCTTTCCTGGGCAGTGACCATGGCATGGCCCCAAGATATTTTTTTTAGCACTCCTCAGGTTGTTGTAGAAAGATGTTTGAGAACCTCCTTCTTTGGGATTAGGTGGGGACCAATACCCTGATTGTTTAATAGTAAGTCATGAGCCCCAATCTCCTGTGATTAATACAACAGTTGATGCTGTTTTCACAAGGTTTTAGATTTTGCTGTGAAGTTTCAGTCAAGTTCTAGACTCTCCTTAGCAATTTTTAGTAACATAATACATTTTAGCTTGGGGAAAGATTTGCAATGTACTGTGTGGCTAAAAAAGTAGAGTCTTTGGTTGTTAAAAACAAACAAACAAAAAACTTTGAAAGCAATTGTCCTTAGATGATGTAAAGAAAAGTAAAGATGGCTCCTAGTCCTTCAAAATTTCATACTAAATGAAGATTGTCTGCCTAAAATGAGGGAGTCTCTTTTCGCCTTAGTCTATATAGATAATATTGAAGTATTAAAATATTATAGTAATTTCTTTAGCTCTATAGCTTGACTTTTAATCAATATATTACTTGGGAAATACACTTCTTGTAAAGGACTCTTGTATTCAATAAATAGTTTTCCTGGCAAAGGGAGTTTAAAAAAAACTCCTCTGTATAATTTTACTAGGTATCCACATTTCCAGCAATTTCTGAATTGGTTTCCTATGTTATGAGTAACTGACAACCTGTGATTTATGGATTTGGAATAATTGAATTTCTTGGCTGTCATACACTTTGAGTAAGAAATATTACATATGTTTCCAGAAAAAAATGACTTAAAGAAGAAAAGAGTGAAGTGGTGCCAAGTACTGAAATTTTATTTGGAAACAGTGTTCTAACTAAACAGTACTTTAGATGCTCCCTCTAAGTTTCTGAAGCATGTTTGCTAAATAATCTTTGAAAATGCAGTTTTGGACATAAGGTTTTAAAAAATACTATTTCTGAATTAAGTGAAAGAATAAATTGAACAACAATGTATTTAATATTCTCACCTTTCCAAATACAAGAAATGCAAGATTATTCATTGACACATGGTAATAGGTAAAGTTCTTCAAAAATGAGTGTTATATAACATCTCATTTTGCTTGTCAAACATACAATATTTAGTAATTTACTGGAATCTCTCTGTGAGCAGAATTTATTTTTAATTTGAAATTTCTAAGGCAAATTCTCAACTTCATTATTAATTGATCTATTATTTTTGCTAGTTTTACAAGTTCTGCTCAGTCTTTGGATTTTACGGATCCATTAACTTTCAAGTTCCATGGAGTGTTTATCAACTTTTTTCACACATTTTAATTATTTTTGGTTGACTGTGGAAAATCTTGTACAAGAATTGAAGGTGAATAGGCTGTTCTCCTGTATGTGTTTTTGACCAACACTGTCCAATGGAAATTTCTGTAATGATAGGAATATTCTGTAACTGTTGTCCATGTGTGGCTATTCAATATTTAGAATGTGGCTAGTCTGGTGGGGAAACTGAATATTCCATTTATAATAATTAATTTATATTTAAATTTAAATAGTCACTTGTAGATAGTGGTATCATATTAGATAATGTAGGTAGACCTTACAACAGTGAGATTATGACCTTGAGCAATTCAGGTCTACACTTGTGAGTCGCATCAAAATTGGTTATTCTGGATCAAAGGATTTCTTCAGTGGTTCTAAACTGGGTAATAGTTCTCTATCAAAGAAACAAATAAACATTTGTAAGCACATTTTTGGTTATTAAAATGACTGGAATGTCCACCCGGCATCAGCGAGTGTGAACCTGAGCAGCTAAATGGTCTGAATTGCATAGGACATGATGCATAATGAGCTACTCTTCAGCCCAAATGGCATAGCAACTGATTTGACAAACTCAAGTAGCCATCAGAGTTATCTAAATATTAATAAATCGTGAGATCTCCTGCTATTTCAGTCTACCTGTAGTTAATTCTGTCTCATATGATCTGTGTTTTATTTCCTCTTGCCTCTTCAGGGACTTCACTTTCTAATAATCATTTTCTCCTATATTTTCTACCACTCTCCTTCTATATGGTATTTGAACACATTTTAGTCTTTCCTATCTCAAATAATATCCCTTTTTAATTCTATATCTTCCAGCTATGACTGTCTCTTTTTTCTTCATTTATAACGTCCATCCCCTGCCAGTCCCAGAATAGCACTTTTCACCTAGCCATTGGGGGAAACAATTTTTGTATTATAACAAAAACAACAACAGCAAAAATGATGTCATACATCGTTTCAAAACACACCATTTTATTACATGGACATATCAATGTAGTTCATCATATCATGTTCCACTTCTAAACCATTGTGTGTGTATACATACATATACACACATAAGTACATATACATACATATACACATAAACATATACATGTTTTTATATGCCCAAGGAGAGTCCACTTTTGTTCTTTTATGCTTATGATAACTCCACTTGTTTGTAGCTAGTCCACACCACACCACCACACCAGTTTCACATATTTTTTCTAATTTAATATTACATTACTTTTTCCAAGAGTAGGCTCATAATAAAACTATAGCATAGTCACTTAAAAATTCTAGTTCACATTCAATATATTGTCAAAATTAAATTTTCAAGCACTTGAACAATGTCCTCCTAATATTCCCCACTTACCTCAAAAAGAATCACTACATATTCCAAGTAAATAATTCTCAACTTAACCCTGAAATCATTGGGTTGAAATAATTACATTTAAAGATTGATCCATATTTGGTTAAACATACACTGTGGATATTTGAATAATTGTAATAATAACATTTCTTTTTAACTCTATGTCAAAGCAGTGATAAACCTACTTTTGTCCTTTAGAGTATAATTTCATAAATTAGTTCAAAAGGCATTACAACATCTTACTGATGTATTATAATTCTGTATTGTATAAATATGTCTACCAGAGAAATGCCACTGAAAATTAGAGTCAGTGCTTACTCTTTCATTATAAAACTATATCCTTGCATAAATTCGGTACAACCGTATACACAAAAACATCTTCATCATATAATTGAGATTTCATTGACAAATATCATGCCTAGTTGTGGCATCAAATGAATAGTGTTGGTGTTGACTCACTATTTTGCATTTATGGACATCTTTTGTAATCTACTAAATAATGAAGTTATCCAAATGAAATAAGAGACATTATGAAACAACCAGAGTCCAGTTATTTCTGTTGAATAGATACAGGCAGAGTTTTTCATGAGTTGATTTAAATAGGCTAAATGATCATGTTGCCGTAAAGTAAAAAACCTTCAAATATTTATTATTTCAAATTATTATTAAGTTTTGCTTATGAATGATAACATATGTTCATACTGGATATTATGTATTCCAATTTACCTATGGTTCAATAAGTAACTCATAAAAAACAACTTAAAATTGATCCGTTTGGGGGAGAAAAAAGTAGACAGTACAGTGAGGATTATCTTAAAATATTCAATTTCTTTATATGTTGCCAAAGACTATATTTTCATAAATATTTCCAAAGCTATGCTATTTTCTTGCTTATAAGTATTGTCATTGGTTGCTATTTTAACATTCCATTATGGAATGGAGGGATTGAATCTAGCTAGAAAAACTTAAACCTTTCTTTTCATTTCATTCTACAGAGAACTCTTTCAGATTCTTTGGATCTATGCTTTCTTATATATGACTGCCTATATTATTTCATGTGATTTGTAGAAGAAAAGGAAGCAAAACAAATTTAAATTAAATTTAAATTAAATTATAGTGAAGCTAATTATAACTTCGTTTTGGGGTGTACATCATCTGCTGATTTGCATCATTTAATTGAACTGTAAGGTGTTTGAAATATCAGTATCATTAATCATTATAGGCCATCATGTCTTTACTTATAAATATGGAAGTATGTAATTTGAAGTCATGTTACATAAATACTATAATCACAGTAAAGTAGCCAAATAATTAAGTAACTTATCTTTATACTACACTACCCAAATTACTCAGTTCCCTAAATATCACCACAATGATATTTACACAAAACAGACCTAATAAAAAGAAGAAAAATGGGCAAATTTAGTGGAAATTAAATATGTGATTTTGTGGGCATAAAAAAGCCTTGAGCCTTCTCACATTTGTGGAGTTGAATCTTAAAAATACCCCCACAGCATCACAGTTTCTTTCTACTACGTATTTACATTCATGTATGCTATAAATATATGCTGTATACATTTTCTATATTTACAGTCTATATACACACATACATACACATACCTGATTCTTAAGCTCATTCATGAACATGCAGGTCAACCTGCACGGTATGGTCAAAACATGTTTATTTTTCTTAAATGATATTTACTTGCAACTTTTCATTCTTGTGCAAAAATGCAAAAATATTATGCAGATTAATATTTTCTCTCTAAAAAAATCTCTTTTTTATGCTTTAGATTTTTGGTCATTTACAAATAAATTATGAAATATAGTTCATTAACAAATTGAAAATAATTACAATGTTTTTATAACAAGGAATTACTGAGGTTTTGAATTATGGCATTCTTGAAGCCATCTGTCTTTCAAAACAAAGACATCAGTAAGTTAGTTATTTCTTAATATTTGCACTTTTGAATTACTCATATGAAATATGTCATTATAAATCTAATGCTCATGCTAGTCAATATGAATTTTATTTCTGTTTTATTTTTGCTTCTTTTTATTGAAAAGTCTTGTTTAGAACAATCTGGAAAGTCTCTTGAAATTACTGTACTAGAACACTTCTGGAAACTGTTTTATCCCATAAAAAAAAGCTGAAGAAATAAGTGAGGCAAAATTGAGGAAGAATAATTTTAGTAGATGCTCAGGAGTGTTAAAAGAAATACAAGAACTGTTTTAATCTTATCTCCTAGTCCTTTGGTATCTACTTGCCTCATGAAATCCTAAAAAAAAAAGGGTTCAGTTCTTTGAAACATTGATTATACTCTTCCATTAAATATTAGTTGTGGTCCTCCATTGCTCATGTTGTCTGTTATTTCCTGTTAGAAAAATAACAAATAAATTAAAATTCACTTTCAGAGTAATGGTTAATGGGTTTACAAAACAGAAATTTCAATCTATTAAAAAAACTTGCTGAGTTATGGGGAAGGACAAGGATTGATATTGTTGTTGAATCAGAGGAAATGAAATTTCATGGCATCTTGGAGCACATGAAAGTGCTAAAATGTGTCTGTTAGGCCGAAGTCTTCTGCCCACAACAACCATTCATTTTCTCCCCACTTCCCTGAGTTTTCTCTTTCTTTCCTCAACTCTATTTTGGAAGGATCTCCCCTAGGAGGAAGAAGATGGTTAAGTGTTCAAGTGTTTCAAATGCATAGGCTCCTCTGCTGATCATGTCAACAAAGTACCAATACATTCTAGGAACTACCTTTATTCTATAGAAAAACATATGGCCTTTTTGTTAAGAACTGAAAAAGGCACACAAGGGGGTCATTGCTCACCTGTAACTATGAATTGCTAAAAAATCATAGTAGGAAAGATTGTCATGATACTATCACTTATATGGTAAAAAACAAAACAGTGGTGTCTCTTAACATGCTTTTAAGGAATCAATTACTAAAAAGTTAATAAGGAAAACCACATGGGAAAGCAATGAAAATATAAATGCAAAGGATAAACTAACATAAAAGATTTCCACTGCAGCTACAGAATATGCACATTAATTTACAAAAACATTAATTTGATGCACTGAATTCATATGTTTGATTAAATATTATACCCTTCCCAACCAAAAAAAATGGTGATGGGATGTGAAGCCCATTCACCTGTATAATGGTTAGTGTACCATATTATAAATAATATATTGGTAAAATGACCTAAAAACAGATTGGCAGCATCTTTCCATGCTTGAACAAGCCTATTTGCAAAAGAACAGTAAGGAATAATTCAAATGAAAATTATTTCTCAATTATCTCATTTCTTTCGATTTCTATCTTGCTCTGGAGAATCTGCTAGAGATGCACATGGTGAAAGTCTCCTAGACGTATAGTGAAACTCTGAAAATACATTCGTGTTATGGGCTGGGGTTAGGATTGTAGTTAAGAAAACAGATCTGAGGCTTTATTCAAGAACTCACCTTTGGTAGTAAAATAAATAGAAATCATTCCCCCCAAAATTACCTTCGGCAAAATTTACTAGTACATCTTTTCCTATTCCTCATACTAGGAAAAAAAAAAAAAAAACCAAAAAACAATATTCTAATAGATTTCTAGAAACAAGAACCTTGGGTGACTTTTCTTCTTTTATGAAGGCTTTACATCTAAAAAACTACTTAAAATCTATAACAAGCTAATCTAGTGTATTAACATTTTATTGCAGGATTTTAAAAAAGCAATTTTTAAAAAAATTGTACAAAATTTAAAATAAAAATTCTTAACTGAATTTACCCTAGCATGGACACAGTAAAATCACAGGAAAAAGGAAATCACAGAAAATATTTCATAGGAAATAACAGTGAAAATTAGTTTTGAAATTTGTGAGTCTCTTCAGTTTATTTGCAAATAGGCCTGTTTAATTTAACAAGAAGACTGTACTTTCTATTTGAGCAGGACCAAATGTGGGTATTTGCAAATGGACATACATTCTGTATTTCCAGTTAATCTGTTTAACCAAATGAAGAACAATTACTATATGTTTTCAGCAATTTGAAATATGGGAAATAAATTTAAAATGTATCACAGCAGATACTTTTACAAGAAGAAACATTCCCCCAGAATTTTTACTGATTTAGTGTCAAATGTTGGCTACCTGCTCATGCAATTTTGACATGAGGGAGATACATAGTTTGTCTTTATCCAGACACATCTATTATTAAAACCAAAACTTTGGTATATAAATGATGATATTGAGTTGGAATCATGAAATAGTAGAGAATAAAAGGAGTCATGGATCATCCAAACAGAAATGTGTTTGGATGCTTACAGGCAGGCTGAATATTTTAAATACTCAACCAAATTTCAAGCTGCAAGACTCTGCCATGTAGGTTATGTCAGCTCCTCAAAGTAAGCTCGCTCTTATGAAAGCAATACTTTGAGGAACAACATTTCAACATCAGTCCAGACTGATCTGTTGACATCATGGCTTTCTAGGAGAGGCAGTGTTTTCTGCAGCGACATTACAACATGGTAACTCCCTAGAAATCAGCGTACCTTGTAGGTAACTCTGGTGTCGGGGGCACCACCGGGCAGCTGGGCAAGTCGGTTATTTCAATAGCCCTCAATCTCTAATGTAAATATAACAATCATACAATAAATATTGCACAAACATATACACAAGAAAACTAAATCATAACGGTATAAAAATAAAGCACGAGTCACTATACAAATATATGATGATCATCTATTTTTAACAACCCATTTATTTAAATTACGAGACCTACTCTGTATACTATTCATTCTTTGTTGAAAGGCATGTATACATCTGTTTAAAATTGCTTTCTTGGGGCAATTTAAGAGCTTCTTCTCTCCTTATGTGTAAATATGGATTGTGCACAAAATGGAAACACAAACTACTTAAGTATTTTTTCCTTCAAAATAACATTCAAAGAAATGCAGTGTCTTGCTATTCTTACTCTAATCTGTGATTATGCACTTTTATTTTTGACTTACAGCACAATATAATGTGGCCATTATGTTAGTGAGTTTATTTTACAAATGTTTTGTTTTTTATTTACTAGATCCAGTAGCAGGAACTGAATTATGTGAAAAATGAAATATGTGCAAAATGTAGTAGAAACACAGACAGCTCACTACATCATTTGTCCTTTTATACAATTAATGTAACTTTCTGTTTGAATGGGTTTCATGAAACAATAATGCAAGGACTATTTTTTAAAATACAGGCAAAGTTATTCAAATGTGCATAAAGTTTAGATGAGAATTAAATGAAGTTTTACAAGGATTGTAACATCTGTACTGATAGACAAGACTTTTTGTCATTTTTATTAAAAAACCCCTTTATGCTTGAAGATCGAATTTACATAGTCAAATGCATCTACTTATAAGCACAAGGGATAAGCTAAAAAAGGGAATTCACGTGATTTCTAAAACTGGCATTATTGAGTGGAGAGCATATTTAGTTTATGTGTTTTTCTTCAGCATAATACATAAAAATCCATATTTATAAGGTATTCAATATTTTATAAAATGTTATTTTAGGAACTGTGTTTTTGAATAGACAGAGATGCTATAAAATTATGCTCAAAATAGGTGTACTATTCCAGTGAAGGATAGTCATAACAAATTTTCCATTCTTAATCTACTATGGCCAAATTTATAAAATCTGGCTCATCAAATTGTCATCTGAATTTGCATGTTGATTCACCTAGAGTGGACTACAATCTTCATCACATCATAGCAGTGGGAGGAAAAGGTACACAACTCACTTTCTCAGCCATCTCATGAGAATGATGCAGGGAGTGCTCCCTTTCTGAGAACATCCTCCTCTGTTCATAGCTGGCCAGTCGACAAGTGAGCCAGGAAGAGAGAGTGCAGCCACCAATTCCAATGCACGCAAGAGACATCGAGGCCAGGTGCAGAGGATACAAGGAAGAGGTCTTCTTCGTGACTGCCCGAAGGAACTGAAAATTCAGGATGCCCCCGATGAGTCCACAGATACAGCAGGCAGAAAAGAGGATCATCTAATAAGAAAAATAAAAGGAGGTGTTAACGTTGAGAAGGCAAAGCAGGTCAGAAGGCAGCATGTTCTGCTGCATGCCCAGGTTGGAAAATCTACAATAAAGAGAAGTTTTGCCCTGCCTTGGGGTGTGTGTGTGTGGGAGGGGGGTGTTCGAGCTGTGTGAATCCTCTCTTTCTCTCTCTCTCCAGTTTTCTTTCTAAATAAACTATATCTTCTAATCTGAAACAGAGAGAGAGAGAGAGAGAGAGAGAGAGAGAGAGAGAGACAGGGTTTGGGTGCTTCACAGAAGCTAAGATCTATTCCTCCAGCCAAGTTTCTGTTCAGTCTGACTCATTGTAGAGGGAATAGATCATAGTGCTTCAGAAATCAATGGTTAACTATATTAAAGAAAATGAATGATGATGAACTGATATGCAAATTAGGTACTGAACTCAGATTTTCTGACTCTAAATCCAGTTTCACTCTCTAATCCTCCCAAAATGTCTAAATGTCTTCTTATTATTGAATTGCCAGTTCTACTAACTTCAAATCTTTAGCCCTTCTACCCATATAAGTTTTGGGAATTTAGTTATTATTATATTTATTTATGTATGTATTTATTTTGAGTTGGAGTCTCACTCTGTCTCCCAGACTGGAGTGCAGTGGCCGCTCCCGGCTACCGCAGCCTCGACCTGCTGGGCTCCGGCGATCCTTCCGCCTCAGCCTTCCGAGTAGCCAGAATTACAGCTGCGCACTACCACGCCCGGCTAATTTTTTTTTTTTTTTTTTATTGTAGAGATGAGGTGTCGCCTGCCCAGGCGGGTCTCGAACCCGCGGGCTCAGGCAATCCACTCACCTCAGCCTCCCAAAGGCGCGGGATTACAGGCTGAGCCACCGAGCCCGGCTATTATTATTTTTTAATCACTAAGTATTTTATTTCTTGTGCATCTATATCTTCAGAGGGTAGCTTAGTGACTTCCTGTGACCTGGCCCAGTATCTGACACATCTTCTGTTACTCTGGGACTTCACAATGAAGAATACAGGATAAATATTTCAAAAACACCGTTTGTTCGTTTGGAGAAACACAAGATGTAGCTTTGCTTTTGATCCTACAGTTGGTTTGCTCTGGGTGTCTGTTAATAGAGCAAGGAGGTTATAATTAACTTAACTATCATAGGATCCCTGGCAAGATCAAGTGCAATATCTGTGTAGTAAATAGTCTATGAATATTTAATAAACTTAATTGACTATTCCACTAACTTTAATCATTTGATTTTGTTTGGCATCTGATCTAAATTCTTCTATTGGCTCTCATGATACTTTATGGTGTGATACTAATTTAATTTTGCAAACTTATTTCTGTCCTCTGAAACAATCTTTACTCCAATCTTCTCTCTTTTCTCTCAATACACCTGCACATTCCCACTTCAATGATATTTTTCATTTCTGGAAATAATTTTGATTCTTCTTTAAACTCCTGGATGGAAGGCACAAATTAAGTTCTAACTTTTTCAGAAAGCCTTCCTTGACTTTGCTGATCTCCTTTGCAATATTCCCCAGGGCAAACAGCTTTATAACTCACTTTAGCATTTACTTTTTCTTTACTAGATATTATTTGTTGTTGACGGTTGGTTGAGTTTAATACACTTCTTGAGCACCTAGCATCTCCTAGGACCCGAGCAAGGTAACTGCTGGCATTATGAATTAATTATTATTCCCCTTGAGTATATTAAAATCTTATAAAAGAGAAGATCCAACATTTCAACATGGCTTAGTAAATATTAAGAAGGATGAATGGGTTGCCCTAGGAGTAGGAAAGAGAATAATTTTGCCTAGCCAGAGTTGTTAGAGAAGACTTCCTTGAGAACTTGTCATTTTAGCTAAGTGCATGCAGTTCCCAGCAGAAGGCCCGATCATGGATGTATGAAATAGTACAATGAAAAGCATGGTGGGCAGAAAGAACCAGAAGTTCTTTCTTCAACTTAATTCTGCATTCCTTATTGTGTCTGTCTCCCAGTACCTATCATCATTGGCTGAAAACCCAATGATGGACCAATAAAATCTTTTTTATACTTGATTAAATATTATACTTACAATCGATTACTGAATAATAAAACCATTCCACCAAGTTGAAACTTGTAGCTCACAATTTCAAGTAGAATCAACCAGTTATACATTTTTAAGCACATTCAGATGGCATACAGTTTCTTGGGGATATGAGAAACCCCATATTTTTCCTGATGTTATTTTCATTAATTCTTTAAAGGCATGACATTTCATTAACATGTGTTGACAGAACATTCTCACCTAGGAATTAAATATTAAAATCTGTATCCAAGTTTATAATCACTATTTTCAAACATAACCAGGCTGGAGATTCTAGACTGAATGAATATTTGGAATGAAGAAATTTTTATAACATTGGATTAAAGGGTAGAGAATCTTGATGGCTAAATGCCATCTATGGGAATCTCAGTAAGTACAGAGATAGTACACCCTCTGATGGTAGGTACATCTACCACCTGGATGGTAGTTTCTAAAAAGTTCACATCTTAGGATTCTTTTCTTTGTAACTCATAAAAGAATTAGAAAGACAGAAAAGTAACACTATTGACTTTTGAAAAAAAATTATTTCTTCTTTTTCTCTTGTCTTTCATCCCTCCCTCTACCATCTGTCTCTTACTATCTCTCTCTTTCTCTCTCTCCCCCCTTCTTTCTTTTTTTCTTTCTCCTCCCTAGGAATTGTTTCTGCATAACCATAATGAGTCTTGGTAGAGGAAGAATGTAGAGAATGAACACCATGTCTAAAGAATGATAAGAGAATCATAGATAAAAACTACACACCAACACTAATAAACACACATTTTATCTCCCAAAGGTTTCCTATTTTCCTTTACGTAATTTTAAAACATTACATCTCACACATTTAAAGTAGTGAGGGGTTTATTTTTGTGTCACAATAGATATTTTAAAAAGGAGTGACTTTAAAAGGGTTCAAATGGAAATTACTGCACTGCTCCTCGTTTTCTACACTGCTCAGATAACTGGCCACTCCTTGGAAAACTCTTTTTAGGCTCAAAGACCACTTTCTAGGGTCCTTGTATACTATTAATTTTGTCAATTTGTAAAGGCCCACGAACTTTCCTATAGTACTCAGGAAAATAAACCATGCTTTTGCCTGATTCCAAACTTTCATAAAATGTCACGGAAGGTTGTAGAGAATCCACAATTCAGCATGCAGAAATTCTCCTCCTGCCAATATCAGAGTTAACTGGAAGTATGTTCTCTACCCTAGAAACCAACGATAGTACCACAAAACATCTGAAGACACTTAATGTGCAGTCACTGTAATAATATAAATCTTTGAGAATTAACTGTAACCGTAGCAACACAGCTATCTTGCTGCTTTGCAAAATTAGCTTTATGATCAAAGAAAGTCAATAATCTTTAGGCCCAGTTCCATATTTGACCAGTTAAATTTCTTATGCACTGAAGCTTTATCTTTTTTAGCTAACTGAAGGATTCAGGTGATTGTCTGAAAGTCTCTAATCTGAAAACTGTCCGCCACCGCAGTCATTAAATGTTGCATATTCACATATTCCAAATATTCTTCAGATTTTTTTTTTTGGTGGTGTTGTTGGTGGTGTTTTGTCATAGTCTCTTATAATCTTGATGGTTTTCTTTAAAAACTAGAAAGCCAAGATTTGTTAGTTTTCTTCTTATCCCAAATCAGTAACATTCAGTATATGAAAGTTGTCTACTCATAATTTCTGTTTTTGAGTTCTTACATTTCAAACACGTCAATGCACAATGCGAACAAGACAAAAACTTACGACAAGTCCCGATTTTTTTTTGGCGCACAATATTCCACAAATGCCACAGAGAAGAAACTGCAAAAAAAGAAAAAAAGAAAAATTATTCCATATTCCATATTCAAAAAACTCCTAGACTTAGCTTTAGTTCTCTTATGACACTTGCTCCAAGGGGGCTAGAAAGTTTTAAATTCCCATCAAAAGCTGGAAAGAAAATTATCTTATTATACATTAGTAAAGAAAAAGATGCAAATTCTACTAAAAAAATTTTTTTTTGCCTGGTTGATAGAGGTAATGGTGGACTTAAGCAACACTTGAATCAGTTTTTAGCACTAGGCGAAATTACAAAATAAATGAATATAGAGTTTTATTTCTCCTGTTTCTTTTCACTGTCTTCTTATCCCTCCCTACTTTCTCAGGGAAAAAAGTGGTGTGATACATTCATTCACACTAAGTAACTAGAATTCAATAGGTTATACTGCAGGAAAAAATTTAGCACAAATTAAAAGACAAAGCATCAGACAGGGAAATGTTTATCTATAGAGATATTCTCCCTACCTCTCAAACTTACAATGGCTAAATGCTTATTTCACTGGGAAGAGTGCCTTTGTCTGCATGTTAGAAGAGGACCAGGGATTGAGGTTATTTATGACATATGATTTCTTGTAAATAAAAACATTGGGGTTATAATTGCTTTGCAAAAGCAGTCACATAAAATTATCTACCAATGACAGACCATTAGACATCTTGGTTATCATAAAATGGTAAATAGTTTAATTTGAATAAAAACATTTAGGGCTATTTGAATTCACATTTGCACATACTTCTAAATTGAGATGAGTCATATATATAAAATAATAAATTATTTAGTAAGTAATAAGTCTACTAAAGGCCTTCAGATTTGTAAAAAAAAAACTGATTTGCAAAAAGTACGTGTTTCCATTTGATTGTTTAAAAATTTTCTTATCTCAAGTCAAAAATAAAATGTAACTGATTTAAATGAAGTATTTCATATCTAAATAGATTTTTTTTAAAGTGTCAAAATATTCTAGGGATTATTACTGGTAAGATGAATTTGAGAAGCACCAAGATAATTTGTTTAAAACTTAAACATAAGGAAATTTGCTGCAGGGAAAATTTTCCTATAAGGGAAGAAATGTTTATAAAGTAGGCAGTGGTTCTGTAAGACAGATTTGGGGAAAAAAATATATATATAAGAATTTGGCACATGATTCAGACGACTTTTCAAATTAATGGTGCAAATATCAGGATTATTTATTCAATAAATGGAATTAGAAATTTGTTAACCTTCCTTAATTCCATGCATCAAAATTGATATCAAATAGTTTGCATATTTAAATATATAAAAATTAAATGCATTAGAAGAAAACAGTTATTTAATTATATGTTTATAGTTTATATAATTTTAGAGAAGTGGGAAAATTCTTCTAAGTATAGCACCAAACTCACAGACCAACATAGAAAATACTTGTTAGTATTGATAGAGAAATTTGTACTTCTTATAGTAAAAAATACTGTAACTCTCAAAGGCAAAAAAATTACAATTATATCCAGAAAGTATATGATAGACAAAGGGGTTAACATACTCTAGAAACCAATCTCACAAAATATTTTTAGTACTATAAAATCATGAGAAGATTGAGACTTAGAACTTTATAAAATCTGAATACTTGCATAATTTTCAGAAGCCTTAAGTGATTTCACAATGCCCATTTTCCACCACCACAGTGTACTAAGTATAGTTGACGATGTCCTCCCATGAACTCTTTGTCACTGATCCCATCTCTCACATCCTTCAAGGCTGTACTCATGAAATTTCCGTTTGGATCAATTCTGTGCCTCTCAGTGCTTCAAGCTTCAGATCAAAGCCCAAGCATGTACATCTCTTAAGTTTCCCTGACTAGCCTGAATTCATCCTGAAACTCCACTCACCCAGAGGTCATTCTTGAAATAATTTGAAAGCAGTATTATTATATCTGTTTTGAAATCTATAGACATTGACATTATTTATTTAGAGTAAAGCCCAAGGGTGGGTCAGAAGCATAAGCAGAGTTCTTCATCCCAGTCACTTTGTTGGAACATATAGGTGGCAATGAAATGGTTACTTTCCATTGTCTCACTTTACTTGGATAGCGTTAAAAAATGGGAGTTAAGGCCTTGGAAGGGGAAAGGTGAGTAGTAAGGGAATCAAGCAATATCTGTCCACTTTCCCTCAAACCTAGAGTGTAAATTTTTTCCAACAGTTACTACTGTTAGAGTATCCAAAATCATATTCCTTAGGGGAAACCTGAAATCTGGAGAAAATAAGCACGTGCAATGGGAAGTCTATAAATTCATGGAGTTTCTCAGGAGGATCCAGAGGATCCTGGTTGAGTCTTAGTCATCACAATTTAAATAGAGGAGAAAAGACACCTCCAAAGTAGAGAAATGATTTTTTTATTTCATTGGTCATCTTTATTTACTGCAAGTCATAGTGCTAGGATGGATCTCAAAAGATTATTTAATTCAGCCTTGTACATTTACGTGTGTCAGATATGGGGAACTAGAGGTCAAGACAGATCAGTGACTTGCTCAAGATCATACATTAAGATCAGAAATTAGGCATATAATTTAGAGCTTTACTAAGTACCTAAATTAATTTTGGTCTAATAATTTGGTAAAGATGCTTTTTAAAAGGATTTTTTCAGTGCTAGTACAGTGCAGATTATACTATCAAATCCAATCAAAAGTGTTCAATGAACACTGCTCACTTGCAACAGTGCTCTTTGCTCTTGCTGTTGTTAATTTTTTATGTAATAAAAATAATTAGAAAATTAGTCAATTGTGCTATATTCTTAAATTAGATATATAAAGAAATGTTCTATGATATTTCAAAGTATTTTCTTTGCTTAACATAACTTTATCCAGGATGTAAAGCACTTGTCTACATTATGCAAATTATTAAGCAAATAAACAAATTAGCTACAGAAATTAAGCTGATAGCTCACCCTATCTATCTAGTTATCTATCCACTTAAACAATTTTACATTGGAAATTTTGTTCTGAGAAGATGTGTTATTTAAGTCCAAGGAGGGTTATTTGCTTTGTTCTTATCATAAAGGAATATACATTTAGCAATCCAATGATAGGGCAGAAAGTACTACTATGAAGTAAAACTAGCTAGTATTCCAACTGAAATTCAATTGATTCCAATTTAAATCATATTCAAGAGATAGCTAAGATTGTGACTTATCTGATGAAATGAAGATATTATGAAGATAGGACTCAATATTTTGAGTGAATTTTCTTTATGGAAGGCTCTGGGAGATTTCTGCTTTTGTTTAGGACATTAAAAGATACAAAAATGTCATTCCCACCCTAACAATAAGAAAAAAATGAAAAACTACAAAATAACTTTTCTAGAGCCCATTGAAGTCAAAGATTCAGGGCAATAAAATAACCTCAATTCAAAGAAGGACAGCTTTCTCCAGGGAAAGTCTGACAGAAACTATCACCTGTTGCAGAGCATGAGAAGAAAAGACAATAGTCATATAAATGGTGTGTAGGGGGTGGGCATGGGGTAGGGAATGCAAAGCCCTGTTTCTTGCTTCAAGCTTCTCTTTCATGGAACAAAGGCCATAAGTTCCTGGCAGAAGAGTAGCAAAACTTGTCATTTCCAGGGTCTGTGCAAATATAGATGGCTACCATAACTGGAGGAAAAGTAGAAGAAACATTTCTTTACACAGATGGAAAGGCAGGAATACATCTTAGGACTAACATCCTATGCTTATACTGAATAGAAGTCATCAACTATTAGAGAAGAGGCAAGAACCTCCTGTTCAAGACCCATCACAAATACAAGGCTGAGTCTGGCTGTCACATGGAGAAGGGAACAGAATACTGAGAAAGTCCCTACCCTGAGACCAGTACATGGAGCCTTCCTACGCTGAGACTGGTCTAGAACAAAAAAGAACCTTTTCCTTCACCTCCACCTGCTCTTCACTATGAGCCTCACAGGTGGAAGTAACAAGTACGCCAATGAAGTGGAGGCAAGAGCATGAAAGCAGACTTCCTCCACTTTGATGGAGGTGAGCAGGGATTCAAGCTGAGGGTGTGGCACTCACACTGAAAAATTTTCAGCTCCTCAGTTTCTACTAGGAGCACAAGGCAGCCACACCCACCACTAGAGGAATTTGAAGAGTATGTAGCACCAAAGATGATCACAGAAACCACGACAATTAATTCCTCACTAGAATGACTTCATCACTTATACTAAAAGCCTAAATGAAGATATTAAGATAAAATACTTATACAATTCTGAAAATAAAAACTTTTAAACTTTGAGCTTTACATCCAGCCAAACTCTTATTCTAACAAGAGATTGCAAGAAAGGCATATTCATTTGGCCAAGGATATGGTGGTAGACTAAAATATGGCTCTTCAAAGATATTCATGTTCTAATCCCCAGAACCCATGAATGTTATCTTCTATGGCAAAAAAAAAAAAGTCTTTGCTGATTTAATTAAATTAAAGTTCTTGAAATGAGGAGATTATAGTGGATTATCCAGGGACAACTTAGATGTAGTAACCTGATTCTATAAGAGGGAAATAAAAGAAAGAGACAGTAGGCTATGTGCTGACAGAAACAAAAAGGCAGAGGGAAGGTATTTGAAGATGCTGCACTGCTGGCTTTGAAGAGGGTCAGGGTAGGCTCAAGACAAAGGGTATAGTAACCTCTGTAAGTTAGAGAGGACAAAGAAGTTGATTCTCTCTGGAGCCTCCAGAAGAAATGCAGCCCTGAAGACTCATTTTAGATTTCTGGCCTCCAGAATATGAGAGAATACATTTCTTTTTTTTTTAGGCCACTTAGTTTGTCATAATTTATTATAAAAAGCAACAGAAAACTAATATAATCTCCAAAGCATTATTTCACATAAAATTTGAAAAGAATTACTAGAAGTTATTCTTCAGGACAACACAGAAGAAGACATGAGAGAAGAAAGAAATATAGTAGTAAAAGCCACAATAAAGTGAAACAGTAAATGTTTGACATGGAATAGGAGTAAATGAAAAAATTG